GCCAAGGGGCAGGAAAACCAGCCCCTGGCATTTGGGGCTGATTCAATGGACATGTGGCCCAGTGGCTTCCTTGCTCCGTCCTGTGTGGATTGTCTCATGCAGCCCAAAGACTGGAAACGAGGACCTCAAGCCAGGAAGCATTACGCCTACAGCACATCAAACACTTGGACACTTTTGGGGAGCGGGGGTTCCACATTCTTCTCTTGTTCTCCAAACCCAGCAAGCCGCCTCTATTCTCCCAAGGGTGGAGATGACAAAGCACCCTCTATAGCTCTTTGCCAGAAACCTCTGGATTCAGCCCATAGCAAGGACACCAGGCGGCTAATGTCCTGGAAAACCCCTTCTGTTCCTGCCTCTGCCCCCACCCCCACCCCCGGGGTTAATGCTGTGCCCCAGAAGGTTGGAAAGAGAGAGACTTCATTTCTAGGGGGGAGGGGAAGGAAGATGATCCCATCAGCCCCACACAAGGAAAGCTTCCTAGGGCTCTTGCGAGTGAGTTCTATCAATGCTCACTTCCCCGTGGTCTTGGGGGACCCATAGGTCAATTCAACAAATTAACTGCCACCCCACCCTCATACTTCAGATCTAGGGTTGGTTAAGAATTATCCTTCCTTAAGCCAAAAATCTTCTCATAAACCCATCCTCTCCTGGCCTCTTTCCAGCTGGAAGGGGAGGGCAAAGAGAAGGAAGGGAAAGGGAAAGGAGCAAAAAGAAATTCCTGTGCAACAGGAAGGCAGGCAGTTCCACTCCTGCCTCCCAGGCTTTGGGCTGACATGTCCTATGGCTTGAGTTAGAGAAGTCAGTTGTTGCATATGCCACCCAGAGCTGCTTTTTAGGGGACAGGCAGCTATATCAATTCGATGGATGGACAGGTGGATGGACGGACAGACGGTTGGTTGGATGGATGGCTGGATGGATGGGCACTCTGTGGCATGAGTTTTGTCCCCTTGCAGTTAGATCCATGCCCCCTTCCAAGCGACTGTGGGTGGGGTGACTGGATAGATTTTGGGAGGAAGACACATCAGTTGCCTTAAAGAAAGCAATTGTGTGCCCCCTAGAGATTCATTGTGGGTCCAATTATCCTGGCAACTTCTACCTTGCCTCCAGCTTCCCTTTCCAGATAATGGGTGGAGAAAATGGAGGAATGCCAGCTACTGAGTGACCTGGAGGAGGCAAGTTACCTAGATTTCTTTCAGTCAGATTGCAATCCTGGAGATAGGATGGAAAATGCAAAGAAATCAGAACCTGGATATGAGTGTGATCTGCTCAGCTCTGTGGGGGGCAAATAATACTGTGTCTTTGCATATATGACTCTGAAATACATATTAGGCAGAGGAGACAAACTGAATTGTTGCCGTTCCTGTAGTGTGCACAGAGTCCACATATGGGCACAATAAAGGACAGTTTATAAGGCAGCCGGGACAGGCTAGGAGCCTCTTTAGAAGACCAGAAAGTTACCCCATGTCGTTATCAGATCCATATTCTTATAGTAATGGTTGTATTATCATTTATACTGCTTTTGCATGTCCTGTGTATCATTTCAGAGGGTATACAGCCCATAACTTTGAGAGTTTCAAGGTCTTCTGCATTCACTTGGCAAAAAGCCCAGAGATCCCTGCAGTTGTGTATGCCAAGAAAAGATGTTACATTGCCTTTGTTTTCCTTGGTTCCTTACTTAAGTGAGTATTTTTGCACAATAATCTTTTGATCCTCTCTGCAAAGTTTGATACCTTCAATCATGGCAGTCTGGTCCCACCACAAGGGCCAGGAGCATCGCTCTGCAGCATGTCTGCTCTCTGCAGCCGGTGAGAAAGGTCAGCTGGGGGTTGCTCCCTCAGAGGAGATGCAGGATCCAATCCTCTCTTCCATAGTTTACTTTAGACAACCACATGTGATTACTGGCAGAGGTCATCCAACAGGTAAAACCCCAAATCATCTGGTTCTCTGTTCCAATTCTGGACAAAATTTGCACTTCCTCAAAGGAGTGAATTATGCAGGTCCTGGATTCACAACTATTGCTAGATTTGCAGGTGGAGGCCAGCCAGGAAAATTTTGTGCATTTCCCAAAGCTGGGCTATGCCAGTCTGCTTTACACAGATCGCAAAAACCCACAACTTTGCAGCCCACCTGCTAGCACATGCAAGCTGTTACAGCCATCTAACTGGTTTTGTAAACATTCATTGGCTTCCAATAATCTGTGTGGCTTTAGCTTTCGGCCCTTGAATCTGAGTATCTTCAGGCTGTCTCCTTCCAGCACAACCGCTCATCCCACAAGGGGGTCCTGAAGGTCTCCTCTACTAGAGCGTCTGGGTGAGATGCTTGTTTCTCTCCTTCACTTTGGAGCAGCCCCTCCCTAGAAGCGCAAGCCTATTAACAAGGGAGTGTTGATCTGTAATTGCCAGTAATGGGATTGGGGCCACAGGTATCACTTAACAGATTAAAAGTTGAATAGCTTTTGGGCCTTTTATTTTCTAGGAACAGCCAGGACAGTCTGGCATGTGGCAATACATGGAAACTGTGAATACCCTCCACCAACTACCCCCATCCCATAAGATCCCTGCCTAACCGAAGGCGACGAGTCCAAATCAGCTGGCCCGGCCAGCCTGCGACGCCGACCTGGCGCCCGGAGGCTCTGACTCGCCTCTCGCGTGTTGACCCAAAAGGGAGCCAGTGGCGGTTCCCATCCGCAGAGCCTGGTGCTTCCTCCCACCCCAGGAGCTGCGCTGCCCTCCGCCCTCCGCGAGAAGGGCCCCAGGTTGCCTTGCCTGCCGCGTCCAACGGCTCCTCTCCGGCCTGCCTCCTGCTCTGCTGGAGCATCTTCCAGGCCGAGGTGCCCGAAAGACGCTTGGTTGCCTCGGCACCAGTGCCTAACCTCAGGAAGAGCTCAGCATATAAACCAACAAATCTAGCCCCAGCAGCCTGATGGCTCCCTTCACGTCCATCTCACGGGAAGGACTTCTCCAACCTGACTTCCACCAAAAGCTGGAAAAGTGCAACCTCAGCACACATACAAACTTGGCCGCCAACATGTGTCACACAATCCAGCTCATGGAGTGCCAGGCCGCAGAAGGCTAACTCAGACTTAGACATGCAGCAATTGGAGCAGAATATGACAAGCAGACGTGGCCTTTAAACCTATCCCTGGCGCAAACCGTTTCTGCAGGCAAAACCATGCCATCACCAACTCCCACAAAGCCCTTTGCCCATCGGCTCTGGGCACAGCTTGGGCAGTTTCCTCCTTTTTCTCAGATCCTTCTGAAGGGAGAGCTGTTCGCTGGTATGCAGATCAGAGCCTCGGGAAAGGTCCCCCGAGGCTTCACTAGCAGCATGGAAGATGCCAATCTCTCTCCACTGACGACCCCGAGACCCATCTGCCTGTTCCAGGTTCTCTGGGCCCTGAGAGGGTGGAATGGGGCAACTCATCACAGCCAACTCGCCATGGCCATCAGTCTCCCTGGGCTCAGCGTGGTTGATACCAGCTTGGTAGGCAGCTCTTTTTCTTAAGAGAGGAATAAAATCTCCCTGCGAGGTAGGCAGTGAAGGCAGAAGGAGAGTGGCTGTACTTACAATGTTCGGTGTCTTTTTTTACCTTTTGCCACTGTCCACATCTCAATTCATGGCTGATCGTGAGCTGGTTTTGATAGTGCAAGAAACAATCTACTACCCAAGAGAAATGAAGTTTTTTCAGTTTAAACAAAAAGTATAAATACAGTAAAGCAGCCTACAGTGTCACACAAGGAGAGAATACCTGGCTATGCATTAGCACCATTGAGAAAGACGTGTGAGAGAGAGAGAGAGAGTGTGCGTGCTTTGTCCAGGGGACGGAGTGAAAACATCGAGCAGCTGTTCCTTCTGGCAAGGAGACATCTTCAGGGAAGTCCAGTGAAAGGAAGGGGGCTGCATGGTGGGGGGAGATACAGGGCACTGAAGGCAGGAGGAGCAGGATGCCCCCCCTCCATTCAGCAGGGAAAAGGTCCAAAGAAGGGGGCAAAGGGGAAAGTCAACTGTTGGGGCAGAACGTCCAGTGCAGCTGACCTGGGGGCTTGGCCCGAATCCCACCAGAGGAGGAAGTGCTGCTGTAACAGGAGCGGCTCCCTGCAAAGATGCCCATCTAGAATCCCCTTTGGCAGCGTGTGGCTCTGAGGGTTCTACCTCTGGACAGCCTCAGGGAGAGGGAGATGCAGATTGGGCCAGTGGGCTAAGCCTGGAGGGCCAAACAATGCCTTGCTGTGTTTCTGAGGGGGGGGGAAGGAGGGGCTCAGTCCTTCTCCTCTGACCTTCAGGTGCACACAGAAATTACAGGCACAGACATGGACATGCCCCCTTCTAGTGGAACAGGTGCATCAGAAAATGGCATTCGTCAATGTGTTGGCTTTGTGAATGCAACAATTCACTTTGGCTCTGGGCTACTTCTCTTTGGAGAAGGAGGCCTCGTGTCAAGGCTCAATCCATAGACAAAGGCAGCATTCCACAGAGACAGCAAACACAGAGGTGGGCTTTCTTCCCCTCCTTTGGCTGAACAAAGCAGTGCTGGGTAGAAAGAAAAGAAGGACTGACATTTTCCCGGGTCAGATACATACCAAAAAGCCATATCTGCCCTCCTCCTCCTCATCCCAGGTGGGTAGAGAGTGGCAAAGCCCCCACCCTGCCCGATCCACCATCAGTGCCCAACCGAGCTCTTGCCAAAAGGGTGGATCTCAAGGTGCCGAATGCCCCTCTGCAGCAGCCTCTCCTTGCAGCGGTGGGGCTCAGCCTCCTTCCTGGGGAGCCACCCAAGCAGCAGCTCAACTGTCTTCCTGCAAAGGGCCCCTGGGGCACAGTTCAGCTGGGCTTTCCACCCCATCCCTGGAACCAGAACCGCTCCAGTTGAAGGTCCTGCAGCAGCCCAGCAGAAGGAGTGAAGGGGGTGAATGGTACTGGCTACCCGTGGAGCACTTGATGAGGGTGGAGGATAAGGCTTTTCTGTGACAGCATCACCTGGCCGAGAAGCTCTGGGGCCGCTACTTCCCAAGAGCATGAAGTGGATTCATAATCTCCTCATATTTGGGGGGTGGGTCGCTGTAGGACACGTTGGGCTCCTCTGCGCTGCTGCTGCTGCCACTACAGTCAGGCTGCCCCGTCACTTCTTCGTAGGAGGGGGGAGGAGTGGCACTACACAGTCTAGACAGGGGGGGAGCCACGTGGTCAGGCTCAACAAGCGTCCTGGCCAGCTGACTGGGCAACCCCTGCCCCCACTCACCATCGACAGCCCCTCGGCTGCTTGGGTCCCGCTGGTAGTGGGCTTCGCTCTGGCTGGGAGGAGCCTCACGGTGCACCCTCACCCTGGGCAAGCTGCGAGCTGCTCGGCTGGCCAGGCCCCTATTTTGGGGGTAGGAGGGCCGGTGGTGCGTGACTTTTTGCAGCTGGCAGCGCCAGATGATGAAGAGACCAATAACAATGAGCAATGCCACACCTAGCAGGGGCACCATGACGTACATGGCATCGGAGCGGTCTGTCCCGTTGGAGGCATCTTTGACAGAGTAGGCATAACCTTTCCAGAACTCCATCTGCCAAGAATGGGAGACACCAGTCAGCAACCATCCACCCTCCCCCCATAGCCCCCCTGAAAGGGATTAGCTCAAGAGTGCCTAAGGATTTGGGCCAAGCAACATACACACACACAGAGAGAGAGAGAGAGAGAGAGAGAGACAGACAGACAGACAGACAGAGACAGAGAGACAGAGACACAGAGAGAGAGACTTATATGCAATCACGCAGTCCCATCACTAGGAGGCAGTACAAATTGTTCCTGATGCTTGGAGAAATCACCAAAACAAGACTACCCAATGTACTTATTCCTCTGACTTTTTCTTTAGGTTTTAGCTGGTGCATAGCTTGTTTTCCAACCCCCCAACTATCAGACCATTTTGCTTTCCTCCTGCAAAATTCATCCTCTTGCCCACCTGTCCACTCCTCACTCTTTTTACACCAAGGAGCCAAGGACTCTTATATCTTATTTCTTGAGCAGTGAATAATAAGCCTTTTCAGACACTTGGAACAAATGGAATGAATGTTATATATTTAGCACTTGAAATTAACATGCTATTTCCCCTCTGTAGTAGCTGAAGCCCTCATCCAGATGGATTCTTATCCACATCTTGGGAGCAAAGTGGGGAAACTTGGTGCAAGGGAGTACTTGGGTGAAAGACAAGGGATACCCCTGCTGTTCCCTCCCAGACCCACCTACCGTCTTCTCCTTGTTCTCAAAGACCTCCTTGACTTCCTCATAGCTACAGACCTCCTCCACGCACTCGCGCTCAATGGTGCCCTGGCGAAATTCTTCCAGAAAGCCATTGGCCCGTGGAAAGCGCTTCAGGACGGAGTGGGCTTTCGGGGCTGTGAGGAAGGCTGGAAGACAGGCACCAACATGGCCACTTTAACAAGCCAGGAATTGATCGAAATGTCTGCCAGCATCTGTGGCAGCATCTGTGGCATCTCTGCCAGTTCCAGTTCTTCTTCTGTGGTGGAGGCCTTGCTGCTTCATTGCAGAGCAAGATCATCATCTCCCCTCCCACCTAAATTTCCAGTGGCAGAAGAAGCAGGTATTACTTATTCTCTTAACCTGTGATGGGCAGGACTGGGCTTGTGTGGGCTGGTAGCCCAATTCACTTGGTCATGTCATCAACCACCTTGATGCAAAGAGGGAAAACACTACCTTAAAACTGGAACAGCTAAACCCCCATCAGCCTCAGTGGTGGGCTGTGGCATTTGGAAAAACTACCTAGCCTGTCCTTAGAGAAGACAAACCATGGGCGAGGGTGAATAGGCCCCTCCTGCAAAGGTAACCTCAGATTAGGACAGTTTCAGCATTGGCCAAAACATCCCCAAGACACTCCCCCCCCCCCCTTGGGACAGCCTAAGAGCAGCCCTCCTCCCCTCTCTCTTCTTGCATTTTAAAGCTAATTCAAGAATGTAGAAAAAACCCAGGCAGTCCCGTATGGCATAGGGGAGGGCTTTGAGCCCCTTCTCTCCAGGATGGGTGGAAAACATGCTTCCCTCCAGCAAAGAATTCACCTACTTGCCATGTTAGGTCTTCACTCTATCAGTTACGGGTCTCAGCCAACTGTTAGAAAGAGAGCAAACCAGTTAAAAAACCTCCCATTAATTCTCTTCCCTTCCACCATCCTCGAAGGTGCTTGAGACCCCGTCGAAGCTGCCCTTCTTCCTCCAGACAATAACAGCACAGACAATAATGAAAAAAACATCTCCAGAAACTGAGGATCCGGGTTGGCAGCATACGTGCCAGGAACGTGGACAGATTTGCTGGAAGGAGGGGGCCCTGAAGGCAGGTCTCTGCATACGTGGAGTTCTACATCAGATGATGGAAGAGAAGCGGCAATCCTTCCCCCCCTCAACATTGCACAATGCAGGGCTTTTGCGCAAGGAGGGGAGTGGCAATCCCCCAGTCCAAATAGGATCTGCCTTTCAGTTACAGACCTGGCAACTGGGGAGCCAAACGCCCCCCTCCAACCTCTCAGGCACACAACACCCCCCCCCCCGCCGCCGCAGTTTGGCTCGCAGGGGCCAGCGCCGAGCGAGGAGTGAGAGTTTTGCCGAGGCAGAAGGAGCGGGGGTGGCAGCGGGGTCTGGTCCCCAACTCTGCAGCGGGCGCGAGCACCAGGCGAGACGGCCACAGCAACCGTGCCACACACCCGCCTCCCGCATTTTCCAAAGGGAGAGCCCTTCCTCGACCGCCCGAAGGCCGTGAGGACTCCGATCCCTTACCTCTGCCGTCGGGGAAGAGGTTGCCATAGCAACAGCGAGGCGGCGTACGGGATGCAGCGAGAACAGGATGCTGCTGACGTCATGCGCGCCCCCTCCAGGCATCGTGGGCACCGACGGGTAACGGGCCTGCCGGAGCGCGCCCCTCACCCGGCTCGCCGGGAAAATGGAAAGGCCTTCGGGAGAACGGAGCCAGCCTCGCCGCCTGTACTCGGGGCGAGAGACGCAAAGCCGAGGCAGCCACTCTGCCCCGCCCTCCGTTAAACTCTCCGAGACGACCCCTGCTCCGCGACCACCATCCGAAACCTCGGCTCGCTCACTGGCTTTTCGCGGCGAGAAGCCCTGCAGAAGCTCGGCGGGTCGGCCGGCAGCCGCGGCCAGTCGGAGGCGCCAAGGGGCGGGACTGACCGCGCGCCCTAGCCAGCCACGCCCTGGAGGCGGAGCTCGCACGCTCCCCCTGGCCGCTCGCTGCATTATCTAATCGTAGGTCCAGCGAGCTGGGGGCGGGCCGGCCGCCCATCCGTGCTCCAAACGGAAAAGCCAACGGGTGGGCTAACGGATACCTTTCCTTCTCGCTTGGGCTTCTGGGAAGCGTGGTCCAGGGGCGGCCGGAGCCTCTCCGGTGGGCGACGCGAGGCTGAGCGCGCGCGCGCCCGTCCCAGTCCCCGAGGCATTTCCCGCTTTCTGGGCCAGGGTCTTCTCGTCGCGGGCCTCTCTCGAGACGCTACTGAGAAGGGGAGGCGAGGCCCAGCTCCGTAGACAGCCTCCCCCAAACGCTTCCTTGGCGGCTCCCGGGCGGCTGCCCTCTTCCCGTGGCCCATCCAGCTGTTTCGCTGCGCCCCCAATCAGTAAAAGAGGCGCCTCGCCAGGGAGAAGAAGGGAGGGGGCCTTCCAGTTGAAGCAGCTGCTCGTGCCTCTTGGCGGGGGGGCGAGTTGCCCGGGGGAGCCATTCTCCCCCGCCCGCTCCCCCAGGGCTTGGGAAGGCCTGCCCGGGGCCCCTTGGAGTTCATCCCAGCCGGGACCGAACCGCCCTCTTTCGAACGCTCCAGCCGGGCAAAGGCTGCCTGAGGCCAGGGGAGGGGATGCCGTCTTCCGGCCTTGGCCTGATTGGGGCGATCCCCCTGGGAGCCTTACTAGAGTTGAGGGATCCATCTTGACGCTCCCAAGCAGAACCTTCCGGATGCGCCTGGAGCCTGTTGGCTTTGCTTATTATTGTAGGGCAGCGCCACCGCCACATTCACGGGGAGACGAGTTGGATGGCGGCCTGCCCCTGCCCGCCTGGAAGCCTGGTCAAGCAGTGGAAGAGGACCCCGCAGGTGGCTCGGCCGAAACTTGGGCTGTCAGCAGCTTCCTTTCTCCTTCCTCGAGTCCTAGCTCCCTGGCGGCGCTGGCTTACGGCCATAATCACCTGGCTGACCAACAGCCTACCACCCTCGCGCAGGCGAGCCAGGCTAAAACTGGGCTCCCGAAGGACCTGTGGGGGCAATCCAGGAGTGCATCTGCTGAGAGCCCAGCCCTCGCGTGATTCATCGTCTCGAAGCCTTGGCCTTTGTTTCCAGCATCATGGTTATATTATCCTGAATTACTACTTTCCTGTGTATCACGGAAGTTAAAAGAAGCGTCCAGGCAGGGCAGCTGCTTATCCCCGTCCTGAGATGCTAAGACCTTGTTTCAGTTGCCTTCCAAGACTAGGGGGGACGGGGGGGAAGAGGGGGATCTTGGTGCTCTTGGAGTCTGTTTGTTTTCTTGCAGACATTTCATTACCAAACTAGGTAACATCATTACGCACTGATGTTATTCCCCAGTTGTGTCATGAACGTCTGCAAGAAAACAACCAAACTCAGAGAGCACCAAGGACCCCACAGTTCAACTCTGAGCTACAAATATTGCCTTCTGTCTGTACTGTGGGAAGCCGGGAGGGCAGCAGAAAACACTGCTGTCCCCCCACAACCCCTTGGCTCTTTTGCACCAAAACTAAGAGAATAAATCTGGGCATTTGTGGGGAAACTTACACACACACCCACAAACACACACACCAACCCTGCTGCCAATCAGTGCATGCAGAGCTGCAGTGGGAGAGAGAGTAGCATGGAAGCCAAATCCCATTTCCTCCACTAGATTGGGCAATTGACAAGGAAAAGCCTTCCTTCTGCTAGGATAAGCAGGGGACAAGGGGTGTGTTGAGCCGGCAAAGCCCCCTCCCATCCTCTCACTCTTCCAACCAAAACTCTGGTCTGGCTGTCCTGAAGCAGTTGAACAGGCCTTGCCAGGAGAGGGATTGTCTGCTAGGCTGAACAGAAGAGACAAAATGCCTCAGGACTAGGGGCTGCGGGTGCTGCTTCCCCCCTCCCCTCCCCTCCCCCCTTCCCTTGCAGGTGGGAGCAAGTACAAGAGCGGCTCCACACTTCTCTTTTTGCAAGAGATTTTTGAAAATCAGGGTAAATTTTTTATTTTTCTATGTGTGTTAAAAATACATAGCAAAGCTTTATTTTATTTATTTTCAAATTTAAGCACCACCCATCTCATTCAGATGAGTATATGCTCTTCTGTATATCATGCAACCCATAGACAGGCTGAGGGTCACCTTCTCATCGAAATGAGACCACAACCATTACGGGCTTCTTCCTCTGAGAAACGAGCAGTCGCTTCTCATCAAGGAGCCTCTCAGAACTTTTGTTAAACTAGTGAAAACAGATGTTCCTCCCTTTGCCCTAATGATCACTGATAGCTCTTTCTTTTACGTTTTAGGACGTAATTTCTACAGATAAGGGGGTGGACAAAGGGCACTTGGCATTTTTTTCAGAAGCTAATAATTAATCCAGGATGGTTTCCTTTCAAGCTCCCGGTCTTCTAGACAACATTTGCTCCGACCTGCACTTGAGCAGAAGGGTGCAGAGAGCAAGAAGACACCAACGCGCGATAGCCGAGGAGAGCAAGAATGGTCTCGGTCAGACTCCAGTTGGCAGGCTACATTTTGGGGCTGCTGGGCTTACTGGGCACCCTGATTGCCACTCTGCTGCCCAGCTGGCGGATCAGCTCCTACATTGGCTCCAGCATCGTCACAGCTGTTGGCTTTTCAAAAGGACTCTGGATGGAGTGTGCAACCTACAGCACAGGCATCATGCAATGTGACATCTACAACTCTCTGCTCAGCCTGCCCACTGACCTCCAGGTGGCCCAAGCCATGATGGCCACCTCCGTTGCTGTAGGTTCGCTGGCTGCCATTCTCTCTGTGGCGGGGATGAGATGCACCATCTTCTCTCAGAGCTCCCCAGCAAAGGACAAAGTGGCAGTTCTGGGAGGAGTCACTTTTGCCCTGGGGGCACTGCTCAGCTTCATTCCTCTTGTGTGGAATTTCCATGTGATCCTCCAGGACTTCTACAACCCTCTTGTGCCCGACAGCATGAAATATGAGATTGGGGAAGCCTTGTATTTGGGCATCCTATCTTCCTTGATCTCCTTCATTGGTGGTGCCATCCTCTGTGCCTCCTGCCCACCTCGTGACTCGCAAGCAACCTGCTACAGTCCTCATCGTTCTCGGGCCATGGCGGACAGGAGCTCCCTGCCAGCTATCGCATCTCCAAAGGCCAGCGCATACAGCCAGACTGGCTATGTGTAGCAGTGGCTGGCCACCCATGAAAACTGGCTCACTGGATGCACTGAGTAGGTAAGCAGAGAGACAGATAGGCTTATTCTTCCCACAACCCTTTCATCCTCAGCACTCCAGCCCTCTCTCTTCCCGATGCAACTTGGCACTGCCGGAGGTGTTGTATTGCTTGTCAACAGTCTGGTGGCTGCAGTGTCTTCGAGGCCAGTGGGGCTGTGTTTCCTCTGAAGACCTTCCTGCTAGACCAAGCAAAGTGCCCAATGACTGCATGGCACAGGAGGAATCAATTTGGAGGAGTCACGGATGCCCACCAGGCCTCTATTAAGCACCTCTCAAATCCTGCCGTCATCCCATCTCCCGTTCCATAGGATTCAGCCCCAGAGTGGGAAACAGGACTGGGAGGACTGCTGTGGGGAAACAGTCACCATTTCTGGGAGAGACCTGCAAGTCCTTGGTAAGGGAGTAAAAAAAAAAAAACCCACCCCAATCTGCCGGAGCCCATAACAAGGGGGTTGATGGCAGAACAGACCAAGGATGCCTGGGGATGTCCTAGGGCAACTGAAGCATCCTCTGAGAGAAGTCAAGACCCCCATCCCTTGCTCTGTCTTCTCCTGCAGATTTCCAAAAGGATGACAAGTTGCCCACAGCCCACTGTTATTTAGGTCTCAAATGTGTGTATTTAGCCTCTGGCTTTGAAGAGGCCGAAATGTGCCTGCTCCGCGGGTGGGTACATGCTGGTCTTGGCAGATGAAAGAACTCCATGGGCATGCCTGCTCCGGGATCAAAGGGCCACTCCATCCGCCCACCCACTTCAAGTATTCCATCTTGAGAAGCCTTTGGGCTTAGAAGGGCTCAGTGTTTTCACTGGCCAATGAAGATCTCCTGCTCAAGCAGGGGTTGGACTAGAAGGCCTCTTCTCTTCCAACCCTGTTATAAAGGACTAAAGGAAAAGGACAGAGGTGGGACAGAGGGGCTCAACTGTGTCTGGGCCACTGGGAAAGAAGCATCTCTAACACCAAGACCAATTCCTTCTAACCTGGGAGCCAAGGAAACAAGATTGGGATGATCCTGAAGTACTTCTGGACCATCCCAAAGAATTGTTTGGAGGCCAGCAAAATGTGCCCTGGGCTGATCATTTATTCTACCTCCTGCTGGCACCAGCATCTGTTTGCCTGTTGGTCTATTTAGCAATGTCCTGGAACAGGAATTTTAAAAAGTACATGTGTTCCCAGAAGAAGAACTAATGCTCTGGGTAGAAAAAAGGGGGGACCGGGAGGGAAGGCAGCAGGCGAACGTGAGTTGGCAAATGGGTACAAGGGAAGACGGAGACTTGATGCAAGATTCTTCCCATATAAAGTGTGAGATAGGTATCTAGAAGGAGGCATGGAGAAGCTTAAAAACCCTAAAGAGGATGATACTGAACTAGTTGGGAATCCCTGCTCCAGCAAAGGCTTGGCTTAAAGGAAAAAGTGCAGCAAAGCTATGATTCCCAGAACAAGCAGATAGTGAGTTTCCAGAGGGTGTGCTGAGGACATGGAAGAGGCCATACAAACAAGTGGGAAAAGAATTAATAGCTCCATTCAGGAAGAGTGCAAAGTATGCAGAGAGTGAGGACCAACCAATCCCTTCACGACTGAAGGCAGGGAGTTGGTTAAAGAGACCAGGAGACAAGACAAACAGTAACCAAACTAATGGAGTGGATTCATCCTGGCAAGGTCCTCTCTCTTGCAGGGCCACTTAAAAGCAGACCATGACATCTTTACAGCGGAACTGAGCACAGCAGGGGGCTGGGGGAGGGGGCTGGGAATGATGAGTTCAACAGGCCTTTTCTAGCTGCAACAGCCTAGGAATTCGTTGGTCCAGTCTAAATTTGAAGGTGCAAGACTGGACCGTTCCCAGTTGGAGGGTCAGTATGTGGTGACTCCTTGCAAGGCTTCAGAGCGGCCATCTAGAAAATTGGATGTGGCCAAGGGATGTCCCAGAAGATTGAAATGCCAGGATGGAACTCCAGATCTAGGAGACATTCTATACAAAAGACTTTTCCCGTGAATTGAGGGGTGGATGGATGGATACGTAGTTATCAGCCATGACGAGGGCAATTCCCTATGAAAAGAAATTCAGCAGTGTTATTTTTGTTTTCTCCCAGTCATGCCAGTGATGGAGGAAGGGTCAGCATCCTTGGGCAAAGGAGCAAGCTAAGCTGTGGGCAATGCCTTCTTCCTTGCAAGAAGAGACAAGAGTCGGGCTTTGGGTGGAAACTGCTTCCCCTGCCTTATTCTGACCCACCCTGGGGAGTGTGGAGCCACAGCTAAGCTCCTTTCTGAACAGCTGGGTGTCCAGTGGATTTACGTTTCCACAGCTTACGCAGGCAAAGCTTGGAGGACAGTTTAGGGGAAAAAAAACCTTTTGATTAATGCATTGCTGCATTGCCACCATTAACCTTTGCAAACCAATAAAGCTATTTTCCTGATAATAGATGACGAAAGCATTCTTGCCATTTCCCCACCCCCCCAGGGGGAAATGGTTCCTAAGGTGAAAGAACTTAAAAGGGACTTTTTCTCTCTCTACACCCACCCCGTCACACCGAGTGCTCCTTGAAACAATTCACCCTGTGACCACTTTAAGGAGGGCAGAATGCAGATTCTGCAAGAGGTGGGACAGGTAAGGGCAGGCTTCCAATCCCTTGCTCTACTCCCTTCAAGCCCTTTCTTGCTGAGCCTGTGATTTTTTTCCCTACTGCTACCCCTTAGAATGAGGGCAGCCCAAGCAGCAAACGCGACACCCTGCTGCACTCTTTTACTAACCAAGGTGGGGCCACCAGATTTCCATGACCCAGAGAAAAAAGCAACCAGGAGAGGTAATTCTGGAGCAGAAAGACACAGATGGTGGAATTGGGAGACCCCTCCTAAGAATGTGCTTCTGCAGGGCTCCCTTCCAGGCAAGGGGGGAACAACTGGAACAAGACCGTATCAGAGACAATGGAGAAAGAGCTAAGCAACCTTTAACACACCAGTGGCTGCTACTTTCTTCCTTCAACCAGGTGAGAATTCATTACAAGGACGAAGCCTCCCCAGCCAGCTCCGGGGTTCCCCATTTTATTACAGAGAGGAAAAGGAAGGGTGGAAACTCCTATCATCTAGTCACATTCCCTGCTATGCTCCCACCCCTAACCTTTGCCCCAGATGATGGAGGAGGGAAAATCAAGGGCAATTGTGAGCAGTTCAGGGTTCCCCACCCCCCAAGAATAGACCAGTCTGGGGGAGTGGCTTTTGAAAAGAGCCCAGCAGGCCACGTCTAGCCCTGCTCTGGGCGAGTTAATGGGCCTCCCTGCCACTCCACACCCTGCCCCCCCATGGGCCTCCTTCACCCTGGCTGGCAGGATGCTTAGGCTGCAAAGGGTGAATGACGCTCCTCTCCTTCTGCTCCCTACCCGAGAGAGGTGGGAAGCAGAGCTCTAACCCCCAACTGGGGGCTATTTCTTGAAGGGCCTTGGGCTCCCACCCCTCTCTCCCAAGGGTCAATCTGCTGCAAATCTGGGGGCCAAGAACCCATCTTGTATGCTGAAGGCCCGGCTCTGAAACAAAGCAAGCATCTTTGGCTCCCAGTTAGCACAAACTGCTTTAAGTATCCATCTGATGGTCTTTCGCAGCTCAAGGCCAAAGAAAGGGACTTATTCCAGCCCGTAAAAGAGAAAGATGACCTTAGCAAACGCTAAGCAACCCCACCATCCCTTAGCAACACTTGCTTATCTTCTGACTGAAGATGGTGTCCCAGAATGTTCTGAGGACCCAAACAACACAGCCAGAGGAATCGTGAGCATTCACGCATTTTATGCAAACTGAGTGAGAAATGGCCAACAGAGCCTCTCACGCAATCGTGGAGTAACAAAATGACTCTTGTAGTTTGGCAAGCCCACTTTTATTCCCTGCTCCCCACATGCAGTTGGCTCCCTCTGTATGTGGAAGCAAAGGGGCTCATAGCCCCAGCGGCAACGGGTCCCACAAGACCTCTTCCAGTTTCTCCGTCTGCAGGTAAAGCCATCAAGCTACCCCAACAGTCTGGGATTGGTCTGACTGGCTGTTGGTCTCCTGGAGTGCAGAGTTGATCCCAGGGCCAGGGGCGGAAGCCAGCCTCTCACTCCGCCCAAACTCAAGGATGAGTGGCTTCCCTAGCAGGAGAAACCCGTTGAGCAGCTCCAAAGCATCCTGGGCCTGGGACACGGCTGGCCAGAGAAGAAGGCTTAGTGGAGGGGGGGAAGAGTCCAACCCAGCCGAGCCCTCCCGGAGAGGCCAGCTACTTACTGGGAAAGGTGAGGAAGGCCTGGCCTCTCATGCGCCCGCTCAGCAGGCGCAAACGAAGAGGGGGGCTGTCCTTCTCTTGGAAGCGGGAGAACAAGGGCAGCAGGTCATTCACTGTAGCGTTGCGAGACAGATTTTTCACATACAGCACCTAATCACCAGAGGAAATGGAGCAGGCTGGGTGTCTGCCGTAGCCCCCGCCATCTCCCCAGCACAGGAGCTGTTTGCAATACCTGCCTGCTAAGAGGGAAGAGGGACAAGAGGCCCCTCCTTTTGCTGCACAAGACTATCCAGGGTGAGGGTCACTATATTCTTCTCCCCTGAAGGTTCCCCAAGCCTCCCCATCATCCTGGACAACTGGCACGGAGGGTTTGTTTTGCCTGGTTCTGCACTTCACAGAGAGGCAAACCCTCTCCCTCTGTGGGGAAGCTGCTCAATGGCCCAGGCACTAAGCTGAGCACCATGACACAAGAAGCCAGGCAGCAGGACTCTCCCAGAGAAGAGCAAAGCATCTTAGCCCAGCCCAGCCTGCCTGGTGAGTACCTTGCTTGGCTCCCCTGGGCTATAGGAGGAAAATCTGGGGATCCTGCGGATTTCTTCCTTGGAAAGGCGGCTCTGGAGAATCTTCTCTTCTGGCACACACGCTACAGGCTCTGTCACCACCACAGGCTCCATGGCTGATGGAGCTGCTCCAAGGCTGGTGAAGGGGGTAGAGCAAGACGATTCAAGCACCTTCTGGGGAGACTCCGGTGGTTCCAGTGGCCTCAGGCTGGGCAGTGGTTCGCTCAGGAGCTCCCGATAAACCGCATCCAGCTGAGCCATTGGGCCCGTCTCAGGGGCAACTTTGGGCTGAGCTTCATCTGAACCACAAGAGACAAAGGCAATTCCTGACCAGAGCCTGGAAATAGAGGAACGAGCCCCGCACAACGTGGGGCAGCCCTCGGCCCAGACAGGCACCATACCTTGGCGATACAACATCTGCAGAAAGGAATGATGGTCTGTTCCCTGGAAAAGAGCCCTCTCGATCTCCATCTCACGCCTGCTGAGGGACTTGCTGCCTGCAAAGTGCTGCGGCAGGGAGAGGATGCGCTGGCGCTCCACCATCTTCTCCTGGATGGCTCGGACCCTCTCCAGAGCAGCCTCCGGGGCAGCCCCAAGCCCAGGGCTCTGAAGCAGACAAGACGGTGGGGAGACACGGCTCGGGCCCCAGGGCAGCGGGAGAGAGCAGGGCAACTGCCTTCCTCTCGGCCGGGGCGAGGGGGGGGCGAGGGGTCGCTTGGAGGGGCGGGGGGGGGGGCTGGGACGGTTGGCCGAGAAGGGTTTATGGAGCGCAGCTGCTGCAGAGGAGAGAAACCTCGGCCAGGCAGCGCCGCAGGCGAACCAGGCGGTCGGCCCCGAAGGCGTCGGAAGGCCTCCCCGCAGCCCCCGGCCGGCTACCTTCTGGGCCCGCTGCCTCCAGAGGCGGATCTCGGCGTCGGAAAGGCCCAGCTCCTGCAGAGAGGCCGCTTCCCCGCTGCTCTCCTGCAGGGCCCGGAACTCCGGCAAGGTGCGGGCGCCCGCGGCCTCCTCCCCGAAGGGCCGGTACACGGTCGCCGGCGCGAAGCGGTGCCGCTTGGCCACACACCTGCGGGAGAAGGCCCGTCACGCCGCGCCCGAGGCTCACGGCTGGGGGGGGAGGGAGGGAAGTCCCGGGCGAGCCCCTCCCGCGGCCACTCACTGCTCGAGCGAGGCCGCCGTGTCCAGCTGGAGGCGCAGCAGCCGCTTCAGCTGCCTCTCGCCCTCCGTCTCGAGCTCCTCCGCCGCCGCCGCCGCCTCCCCGCCGCGGGCTCCGCATCTGCGGAGGAGACAAGACGAGGGAACGGCGGCTCCCCGACCCCCTCCCCTCCCCCCCCGTGCCCCCCTCCCCCGTACCCCCCTCCCCCTGCCTCACCGCCTCATCGCGGCCAGGGACTGCCGGGGTGCCGTGCGGACTGCCGGGAGAACCCCTACTGGCTCGGCTCGCGCCCCAGGCCCCGCCCCCAATCCCACGTACTACGAGGCCCCCTGGCGGTTGGCTGGCGAAGGCTCAGCAAAGGAGACGCGTTTGGAAAGAAACTCTTTATTGAGGGCTACAAAAAGAAGCGCGCGGGGCGGGGGGGGGAGGGGCGCAGAGGCACACCAGGCAGCGCGTTAGTCGAAGGTGATGCGGAAGCTGCGCTCCTGCTCCTTACGGCGGCTCTCGCAGACCTTGCTCATCTCCTCCACTTTCCTCTGCAGCAATGCTGTGGATAAATGGAGAATGGCTGCTAGCTTGGGAGGGGGGGTGTTCTGCCACCCTACAGGTACAAACTTGCTCTTATGGCCCCATGCAGAAAGGAGGCAACTGACTGAAAAGCGCCCTCTCATTAGCAGAAAGATGGGCACCCCAGAGGTAAAAGAGGAAGACCAGAAAGGCACAGCTGCCAGATCAGACTGAAGGGGGGAGGGGGGTTAATCCTGGACTCAAACACCTCCAGGGCCATGACACTACACCTGGCTATAAAAAGGGAGACTGCCGCTCCCTAGGAATTCAGAAGCAAATACCTGAGTTCTGATCAATCCACTGCAAAGAATCCATGTGTGCATTCAGAATTTTGCAGATTTGCTGAAGCTGCAAAGGGGGGAGAGAAAACCCAAGTTTTGGTGAGGAAATGGCTCCCCTGCCTCCATGCCAACCCAAGGACAGGAGCTTCTTCCTCCCTATTTACATCAGGTTCCTCAGCAAGGCGACAGCCAAAATGTTAGCTCCAGCAGAACTAACGATTCAAAGCACAAAACTGAAGGGCCCCCCTGGCACAACAAGGGCACTCACAGGATCACTATTGTCAGCAGGGCCCCCGGAGGTGTTCAGGTGCTCAATGATATCTTTCAGGTCTTGGGCCATGCGCTTCAGCTGGGCATCAATGTTCTCTGCCAGCTTGTATCTGCAGCATAAGAGCAAACAGTTAAGGACACACGGAGGCAAAGAGCTGTGTAACAGTGCCTCTGCCTCCCACAGCATGGGCAAGGGGGTGAGGAGCAACAGAAGAGACCCAGCTGGAGGGACCATGACATTCAACCTGGAGCAAAAGGGCCTTCGGCTACAGGATGTCAACAGATGGACACACAAACTACTAAGATTGTCAGCAATGCAGGTACAAAGATAGCCAGGGAAATGACTGAAGCCTGAGAAACGGGCCCCTTGTTGGGCCTCTTGTTAGTCAACAGGAGTGCTGATTTAGCACAAGCTTGTCAAGTACTTAGGAGTCGAGGACTTGGCAGCACAAGCCAATTGCCGGCCATCAACACACCAATCAGTCAATAGGAAGGCACCATATAAATACGAAGCATAAAATATCCCAAAGCATGTATTCCAGTAGAAAGAAATTCCCCGAGGATGGGCTCCAGCACAAGACTACCTCTGGTACCAGTGACCGACCCAGATTGGATTCCTATTATTGTTCAAGAGACCAAGGGAGGGCACGATGCCAGCCAACTGGTCCCTCCAGGAGAAGTGAGAGACCCCGCCTTCAGGGATGCTCACGTCTTTTCCCGCTCCTCATCTGCATGTTGCAAGTAGATTGTTCCACTCTGCTCCTTCACAGATTCCTCCAATGGGATCAGCAAGTCTTCTAGCTCCTTTTGCTGAGACAAAATGAAGTCCAGCTCTTGATCCAACCTACAAGGGAAGGGAGGAAGGGAAGGAACAGCATGCTAAAGTGCTTTAAAAGGGGACAGTGCTGCATAGGCTGTTCAGGCCATTCAGAATTCCCGGTAAGGATATTAACAAGTGTGCACACTCACACAGCCACACAGAGGCTGCACACTGACTCAGATTTCTGATACCCCTTACAAAATTTGCGGCCAGGGCACCGTCACATGGTTCTTGATGCTGCTTGACTCCAAGAGCAAGCAATAGGGACAACGCTTGTTTCTACGCTACCTGAGGCATTCGCTAGATCAAAGGTCAGTGCCAGGCAAAGCTCGCCTCAAAGAGGTTGTAAATCTTGCGTGTTTCAAAGGGCTTGGACAAAAGAGAGCTTCATGGGGCCCAAATCCCTGCTGCTTGGCCTCTTGCAGATTGCATCCCCTTTCTCCTAAAGTAGCCAGTAGGGGCAGCCCTCCTCTTTGCTCCTGAGAAGCAGGGGAACCAAAGCCAATTCTAGTCTGTTAAAGGCCCAGTCCCTTACCTCTTTTGATCCAGCTTCACTTTCTCTACTTCTCTGTGTAAAGTTGTGATCTGCGTTGAGGGAAAGAGAGAAACAGAGATGCAGTTGCTTGTTTCTTTGACAGAATCTGCCTTTTTGAACACCAGAGCCAGGCAGCCACCCTCTACCTTTTCTCCATTTTCAATCAATGTCCTGTCCCAGGCATTGACCTGGGTGGCCTGCTGAAGGAAGTGCTTCTCCTGGTCCTCCAGTTCCAGGCTCCATTTGTTAATCAGGCTCTCCAGCTGGGCATAAGTCATCACGGGGGATGTCCTGGACAGAAGATGGAAAATCCCAGCCCACCATCAGTCTGTTTGCAGGGGACCTGGTGCTCCCATCACAACCGGAGCTCTCTCCATACAACTTACATGCCAGTTGTGGTGGTTGCAGTGGAGGTGGAAGCAGCCACGCTTGTTGTGGCAAGGGGTTTCAGGTTCAAAAGGAATCCTGCAGCAGGTACAGAAACAGCCCCTGGAGAGAAAATTACCTGACATCAGACTGTAGATGGCAGCAGCCGCTGAAGTGGGCACACCTGGGCCTCTAGCCCCTATGTGTCCTCTGGGCAGAAGAGCAGGGAAGGCTCTGCTCTGGGGCTCCTGGACTCAGCACCACCCAGGGGTGAGACTGGTTTTGCCCTGCAGCACCAGCAGCAGCCCTTTTCTCCTACTGATGACTTCACTGACTTGAAAAGGAAGCCGTGAGCATATACACAATATGCCCCAAAAGGAGTGCAAACCAGATGGTCAAACCTGCCAGAAAGACCACTTTAAAGAGCCCCAGTGCACAAAAGGACACCTTGTTCCTTCAGCAGATCCTCACCAGCTGTGGGGAGGGCAGCGGTTGCTGTTGTGGTCACTCCAGGCATTTTTGAGCCAAATCCCAAGGTCCCAACGGGAGCTGCCCCTGTCGAGGAGGTACCCACTGCAGAAGAAAGTGACAAATGTTCCTAAGTGGCCAAGAATATTTTTTTTAAAAAGCTGAATTACACATTGAAAAATGCTACAATCATTTGTGTCAGAGAAAAACAGGCAAAGTATACAAAATTCTGACCCGAAGGGATAAAGTTCCCAAACCATCCAAACATCTAACCATCCTATGCTCTTGGTTGAGCAAAGGATGTAAAGAGACATGCTCCAGCTGGCCCTGCCCCCTCAGCCATCTTACCTGAAAGGCTAATGGCAGTACAGGTAGCTGGAGCTGAGGAGCCTGCTACAGATGCAAACAGTGTGGGCCCTGATAGGCCCAGGAGAGAAGAACCTATAGTGGCAGGTGCCCCCGAAGTGGCAGTGGTACCTGTGGAAGAGGACAAGCAGAAGACACCTGCTGAGGTTTCAGTGTTCCCTGGGTGAGAACAAAACAAACGGCTTCTAGACAGGCACAATTTTCTGTGTCTCTTAAGGCCAAATACCATTTCATTCTGTCTAGAGACAAGGAACAAAATAAGTGCAATTTTACCAACAAACCAAACACAGCAGACATTCTTCAACCTCCTCTTCAATTGTTACAATTCAGCACAATTAACCAGTGGAACAGCTTGCCGTCAGAAGTTGTAGGTGCTTCATCACTGGAGATTTTTAAGAAGAGACTGGACAGTCGCTTGTCTGAAATGGTATAGTCTCCTGCTTGAGCAGGGGGTTGGACTAGAAGACCTTCAAGGTCCCTTCCAGTTCTATTCTGATTGAAGTACTATGGTGCCATAGTGAAAAATTCCAAATAGGGGAATCTTTGATATGGGACACGCACACATACACACAAAAAAGAAGGCTTATAAAAGAACTGTTGTAATTGAGAAATTAGATGAGAATTGTTGGAAAAGTGCATGTAAGAAAAAAAGATTTTTCAAACACACATTTGCCAAATAAATTATTCCAGGAAAAGATCACCACTCTGTGCTGCACTGAGCAGACCACACCTGGAATAGTTCACCAAAATATAAGCAGCATCCTGAGGAACTAGATACAGCATAGGGAAAAGCAGCAAAGATGGTAAAAGACTTTGAGACTAAACCTGAAATACAGCAATTGAAAGAACTCAATATATTTAATCCAAAGAAGGCAGCAGCCTTCCAATACTTGAAAATCTGCCACAGGGCAAAGATTTATTTTCCATAGCACCTGAAAGTGTTCCATCAGGGGGGGTTTTCAAGAAAAAACTGAAGCACACTGTATGCTCTGGGCAGGGGGCGGAACTTCAAGACGCCCAAGGGATTCTATGAAGCAGAAAGAACAAAAACAGGCAAAATCATAGAAAGAGCAGGTCAACATGCAGACTATGATGCTGAAAGGGGTTAAACCAGGGGTCTTCAAACTTGGCCCTTTTATGACTTGTGGACTTCAACTCCCAGAATTCCTCAGCCAGGAACGCTGGCTGAGGAAGTCCACAAGTCATAAAAGGGCCAGGTTTGAAGACCCCTGGGTTAAATGATAGGAAATAGTATCTAATCAGGATATTTTTAAAAAGCAGCAATGAATAGCAGCGACGATTTAGCCAGGTGAGCAAGCTCCAGCACAGCTCATCAGTACCCAAGCCCAAAACATACCTCCAGGTTTAGCCCCAAAGGACAAGGCTGTGGTGGTGGTGGTAGAAGTGACAGCAGCTGGAGCCAACACTCCAAAGCCAGAACCTGCAACAAGAGAAGACAGGAAGCAAAGGGGCCTTCCTGCCTCGAGGTCCCTGCGTGTTTCCAGAAGGAGGCCACCATGCAGCACCGTTTCTGCCTTTTGAAGCAAAGCGGCCCCTTCAAGATCAGCCTTATCAGCCCCCACCTAGGCACTTCCCTTTCCCATGGCCTCATATGGAGAAACACCAAACACCGGCAGGTCTCGCATAGGCAGCAAGCCACACTGGTCTTGCACAACCCAGTTCAAGACGGGCCGCTAAAAGGCTCGACCCTCCCGGCCCTCTCACCGGTAGACGCTGTCCCGAGGCTGAAGGCTGGGGCTGCCTGCGATGCAGCTGCTGTGCTCACAGCGGCGTTGGTGGAGGCCGGAGCAACTCCGAAGTTCGGGCCGGTAGGCGCCATTTGCGCCGGGGCGCTCCCCAGCGAGCCGAGGCTGAAATTCGGAGCCCCCGTCTGGGCCGCCCCACCAAAGCTGAAGCCTCCCGCGGCGGCGGCGGCGGCTGGAGCTGGTTGTGGCGTCGTCGTGGCTGAGCCAAAGACGAACCCCGCGGGTGTCGCCGCTGCCGCCGCCTGGGTGCCCGGCACGCTGCTGTTCGCGCCGGAGCCGGCCAGTCCGCTGCTACTGCCCAGCCCGAAACCGCCGGTCGCGGCGGGGGCCGTCGTGGCACCCGAGCCCCCCAAGCTCAGCTTGGGAGCGTTGCCCCTGAAGGAGAAAGAAGGGGGCGGTGGGGCGGCTTCCCCGGCGAGGGCAGCCCCTCGCTCGGCACCGCCGTCCCCCTCCAGGGCCACGACCCGCCAACGCCCGGACGGAGGAGCTCCTCTCACCCCAGCGTGAAAACGCCCGCCGCGGGAGAAGCCGCCGCCGCCGCCGCCGAGGCCGGGGGCATCCCGAAGCTGAACGCGGAGGCCTGCGTGGAGGCGGCCGGCGTCGCGAAGGAGAAGAGCCCGGCAGCGGGCGGGGCGCCCCCGGCGTTCGGGGCGGGGGAGCCGAAGCCGAAAGACCCGCCTGAGCCCGCGCCCGCCGAGATGGCCGAGGAGAAGGAGAAGCCCGCGGGGGCCGCGCTGGTGCCGCTGCCTCCGGCCGTCTTAGGCGTTCCGAAATTGAAGCCGCCGCCGCCGCCGCCCGCGCCGAGGCCGAACTGATTCATGGCGCGTCCCTGCCCTAGCAGCCTCGCCGCCGCCGCGCGCCCCGATGACGATCACGCCGCGCGCCGGAGATAGCGGGCCCGGAAGCCGCGCCGTTGCCGGGCAACGCGGGAGGGACGCGGCGGAAGTGAGGGTCCATGGCGGCGCCCGCTCCCCTTTCGGCCGACTCGCTACTGGCGCTGGCCGGACTGCTCTCCTCGGGCTCCGGGAACGGCGACAGCGCGGACGCGGTGGGGCCCGGGGCGGGGCAGGCGCCGTGGCGGGCGATGGGGCGTCCCGGTCTGTCTGCCTGAATCCGCCGCCTTCTCTCCGCAGGCGCAGGGCCCCGCGGGCGACCGCTCCGGGCCGGGGAGTATCGGCCCCCCGAAGGCCGGCGGCGCCTCGGGTGAGTCGGCGGGGCCGGGAGGAAGGGAGCGAGGACCCGCTTGTCCTCAGCCAGCCCGTCGGCTCCCGGAGGCCGCGGAAGCGCCGCTCAGAGCCCCGTCTCTTCCCTCAGCTGCCCCGCTGCCGCCCGAGGAAGGCAAGGCCATCTGGAGCGCCGAGGAGGTGACCGAAGGGAACACGGGCGACGCCTCGTGGGACCCCCGGGAGCAGCCGGAGTACGTCCTGGCGGCCCCTTCTCCTCGGGGTCCCCGCGCCGCAGGTGGAGAAACGGCCTCCTGCGAAAGGCTCCCTCGGTGCCCTCTCCGTCGATGACCCCCCCCTGAACGAACCCGGGGAAGGAAAGTCGGCGGGCCCCAGCTCGATCAAAACCGGGGCTGGGGGGGGACAGACCCAACTAGAACAGAATTTCCCACTGATTTGCTGCTCTGCCAGCTTTTTCTATTGGTTTGAGAGTTGCTATAATTTCTCTTGTGAGGAAGAAACATCCTCGATCTGAGAAAGGATGCTCTCTGAAGCATCCACTGAAACTCCAGCTGTCTGACTCCCAGTTCTTTACAGATATGAGATTGTGTTCAAGCAACAGGTGAGGGCTGAGGATCTGTTCCTAGGCACGAGCAGAAAGGACCCCTCCACTGCCTGCTGCGAGGACATGCTGGTAAGAAGCAAAGTGGCAGTTCCTCTTGGCAACGTTTCTCTGGGCGGTCCTTCCAAGCTTTTCACACCAAAAGCTACACAACATTATTGGAGTTGTGAATTTCAAAAGTTTGGCAACTGCCCTTTCTCTGCACACATTATATTATAAAGCATCTAACCTAACATTTCATATATCTGAGATGATTCTGCTGTGCATAAATATAGGAGGATATCCATAAGCCTCCCTTTTCCTTGTCAAAGGATGCCCCCAGCTTTGACAGAGGTTGTACAATGGTTTCAGAACCTCTAACATTGTTCTGTTGTTTGAAACAGAAAAGCAACAGCGTAACACATCTAGCATGCATCCCTTCCTATTGAAAATAAGCCTGGATGCACAAATGATTCATTTAACATACTTAATATCTTTTCCTCACTTTTTGTTTTTCCAATTTCAGATTAAAATTAAACTGCCGGACACAAAAGCTTCAGACATTACCCTTGATATACAAGAAAAGCTCCTTGATTTTCGGAGTCCCCAGAAGTATGCTGAATAATTTATTTTTGTGAGAATATTCTTATATTGACTTTAGAAAATAACATTCCAATAATATTTGAGATGTCTTGGCTGTGAGGTTCAGAGCAAGCAGGAGCAGATTGCTGCCTTCTCTCGATGCTGTGATAGGTCTGCCATGCTACAAGCATATGGAACAGTGGCCATAGGAATTTCTTATTGGGAAAGTCTCTGAGCTTTATATGCCTCCTCTCTCTGATTCCCCCTTCTGGTGTTTACCTTTCTGCTGCTTACTGCAAATGCTGGGGGAGCGGGGTGAGTCCATTTTGGATATAGCAGTCCCCCCACTCTTCGCGCCTTCCTCAATTTCACCTTAGAATGGTCTGTTTTCCAGGCGGCTCCTTTTGCATCTACCTCATCCAGTGGACACCACCAATGGGAGAGCCCGTTTTCTGTCTGAACAGGCTACACTGGAAGTCACTTTGAGGATGAAGCGAGAATTGGATTTCATCAACTTTGCATGAAGAGAAAGAAGAATCAGCCGCTCAGAGGCCCAGGGGAGATTTTCTAGTGAGGTAATTGAGAGAAGAAGATCCTGCCACCTGTTCCAAAGAACTACTGAAGTGTCCAATAGGCCTTCGTGCCAGCATCAGGATACCTTGAGGTCTGGCTGTCCTACCCTCTTCTTGAATTCTGACACTGAAATATTTCTAGGAGGCCTCTGGCTTCTCCACTTTCCTTAATTGTTGCTTCCTTGGGGGGGGTCCATTCCTCCAACATCAGGGGATCAGCATGTGGGGGACAACAGATGCAAAGTGGGATCATAATGGCTGAGCTGCTAACTGCTCTGACTTCTGTGGCATTTATAGATAATAAAAGTCCTGTCCTTTTTTGTTTGTGCCCACTTCCATCCTTTGCGGAAGCTCTGCTCTGGCCAGCACAGCAGGGGCTTCCTTTCAATTGATGCCTACCTGCTTTCTAGGCTGTTTGCAATGGAACAGGGAACTAAACAAGCTCAGGCTTGTTCCAAGAGAAGCTGACCTCTCTGTTCCAACCATGGACCTGGGGTTTGGTGAAGAATAAGCACAATCTTCCATGGCATAAAGTCAGCATTTAGCACAACAGTGTTTCCATCAGGAGGGCCCAAGTTACAAGCAAACATGCAATTTGAAAAGCACATAGGATAAGAAGCTCCTGCTGATGTGGTTTGCAGCAGAGGGAGAAGATGTGGGCAAATGAGAGCTTGTTTGTGGCCTCTTCAATAGAGTGGGACAACTTGCAAGACATCTGTCATCTCCTGGTAACCAATTAAGCCCTACTTCCTGTTGGTCCTACTTAAATGATAGTGTTTATGTTTAATCAGAAGAGCCCAAGGAGACGAAGTCGGGCCAGATAAAAACAGATGAAGACAGTAAAAAGCAGGATGAAGTTAAGTCAGCAGGAGGACATTGTTAATGTTGACCAACTTGGAGGCCGGGCATGGAGGGGAATGTGACAGATTGGTACCCTACCTCTTTTGGAAATGCATATCAAATCCCTGGAGCCACAAGAAACGTTATTCAGCACAGCACCAAGAAGCATTGTCAGGGCAGTGGGAACTTGGATTGGCCCTGCTGAATGAGAGGGGGAGAGAAGGACATGCCTTTTCACTATAGCAGGATTGCAGGTAAGTGGCAAAAAGGCAGAAGAAACCCTTAGGAAGAAAAATGATCGACTTTTCAAAATGCCAGTTACAACAGATGCAGGCTCCCAAATCCATCCAGTACCTAAATCCTCTTCTGTGTGTTACATCCTGGACCAAAATGAGCTTCTCTTGAGATGGTGACAACAGGGAACTAAGGCAGAGGACTAATCCTTCAGCAAATATTTGCTCAGCTCCAGGTCCAAGCACCCATTTTTCCAAGGAAGAATTTTCTTACCCAATTTTCTCTTGGGGCACTGGTTGGACTGATTGAGGAGGAGGTCTGTGTCTGTTCCAGAACCTGGAAACGGGCACCCCTCAGCAGCAACCACCCACATACTTGGGACATGTTCCCCAACCAGCACCCTCCCTCCCTCCCTCTCTCTTCCCCTCCCCCCAACTTGGCTATTGAAATTAAGGCTGGCTTCCCCTCAGCCCCTCTCTTGATCACGAAGCCCAAAGCCTCAATCTAAAACCCAGGAAGAGGGGTAGGGCAGCACGGGAGATGCGCATTTTCCCATCAAGGGTGAACTTAAAATCTACAATGCTGCGCCAAAACCCTTTTCTTCGGGGGGGGGGGAAGGAGGGGGAAAACAACCCTTCAGGCAAGGCTCCTGCTGCCGCCGCCGCCGCCGCCGCGCTGCAAAGCCCGTGCACAGCAGAGGCGCTCTCCACAGGGCCAGAGGTTGGGTGGCTTTCCTGCCGGTGACGTTAGCTCGCTGCCACCTGACGGGCGAAGTAGGGGCGAAGGGCCCTCTTTATCGCCAGGGCCTCCTGGAAAGGATTTTGCCACTCCCGCTCCCCTTCGGCGCGCTCCCCGAGGGCAGATTTCAAATTGTGCCCGCCCCACCGGAACTGGGCAGCGAAGGGCGAGCGTCCCGAGCGAGGCGAGGAGCGGAGGCGGCGGCGGCGGCGGCGGCATTCGGGGCAGGGGATTCGGCTGGTGCGAAGCGCCTCGAGGAAGAGCCAGGGGGGCTCTTGACGCCGCCGTCTCCCGCGCGCTCCCCTCCCTCCCCGCGCGCGTCCGTCCACCCGCCGCCGCCCTGGCCACCTAGGCCCGCTGGCCTTCCGGGAAGCCTCACCCCCCCACCCCCGCCGCCGTCTTGTCCGAAGTGCCGCCGCGAGCGAAGGCCGAGCATGGAGCGGCCAAAGGCGGGCATCCAACGCCCTGTCGCAACCTCGCCGCCGTCCCAGTAGAGCCGCAGCGGCGGGAGCGAGTACCAGGTAGGCCCCGAGGTTCCCTCTCTCTCTCTCTCTCTCTCTCTCCGTACCTCTGCCAGTCCTCGCGGAGGAGGGCTGCTTGGGGCCTTCGGGGGAGCCGGCGGGCGGACGGGCGTCGCGGGGCGATGTTTGGGCTCGAGGGAGCCGCGGCCGCACCACGCCCCCTTTGCGGGCGGCCCTGCCCCTCCGACTGCGGTCAGTCCCCGGGAAACCCTCCCGCAGGCCGCCGCGAGCTCTCCACGGCCGCGCCGTTCCGTGGAGCGCGGGCGGCGAGACGGTTTTGCGGAGGAATGAAGTGCATGATGGACGCCTTGCCCCGCCAGGCCGCTGCACCTTGCGGGCGCCTCGGGTCTCGGGCAGCCCTCGCGCTAGCCCGGGCCGGGCAAGAACTTGCTGGTGCGCCGGGGATCGTTCTCCCTGGGGACACGGGGATGCCGGCTGGTCGGAGGCTGCTGGGGCCCCGCCTCCTCTCCGAGCGGGCCTGGCCCCTCTCTCTCCCCGGCCAGAGCGCCGCGGTCTCCGGAGCCCTCCCGACCGAAAGAGAAACAGGGCTTCTCTCCTTGAAACAGCGTTAAAGTGAGCGCATGGAGCGGCGGCAGAACCGGGCTGCCGGGAAGGCGGGCAGCAGGGAGATTTACCGCGGGCCTTCTTTTCTTCCAGCCCAGTGCAGCAGGTGGGTCTGCCCTCCGCTCGCCGGCCCAGCCTGTCCTCCGGCGCGCCGCGTTCTTCCTTCATTTCTTAAGCTAAGTCGCGGGGCGGCGGCCTCTCCCCGTTACCCCGGCCCGGGGAAGTCAGAAGCGTCCTTTGCGGACCCCCGGGTCTCTCCTCGCCCTGAGAAAGGAGCGGCCACCTCCCAGGCAAGCGAAAGGGAGCTTGGCGGCCTGGGCTGGCAGTCGCTGTGCCCTTAGCAAGAGCTGTGTCTCTGCGAGATGGAGGGCTGGTCCGGGAGAGGCCTGAGCCCCCCCCCCCCCTTTCCTCTCCAAGCGCGTGCCGGCCCATCTTGCTCTGCTGCTCTCTCAGCACTCGGGCAGCGGGAGTTTCTTGCCGAACTGAGCCCGGAGAAGAGCGAAAGCACGCCCCACTTTCCTGCGGCTCCTCGATATTGCTCTCTCCATTCGGGGTCGTCCTTTACCATATTCTCAGTTTTCGGCTGGGGAGGGATGATAGGTGTTGTGGCAACTGGGGGCACCAGCTGAGCTGAGCATCAGGGAGGTCTCACAATTGGCTTGCAGGAAGGGCAGGAGGCTACCCCGGGTCTTCTCTTGGGGTAACTAGGCAAGCCAAGTAAGCAGGGGAAATGGGGACGGGAGAAGGGGGGGCATGTCAGAGCTGGAGCTTCCAAAGACAGGCTTCTCCTGCATGGGGAGGGGAGTCGGTTTTCATTTGGGGTGCTAGTTAGGGAATGGGGAAGGAAGACAAGTGTTCAATGGTTAGAGCACAAATTGGCAATTGACTCGGGATAAGCCTCTTAGAAGCAACTGGCCAATTCAGTAAGGATTCCCACCCATCCAATATGTTCAAATGTGATGCGTAGATTAGTACAATGCCTGTTGTATCACTATGTACATACTTGTGCATATTTACTCTTTTAGCTTATTTCTTCTAAATTATATGTAGACAAATTAAATGAGAATGATCTACTAGAAGGAAGGAATTCATTGGTATGGTGGAGTCAGGAAAATCAGCAAGGATCCTTCGTGAAGGCCACAAGCCAGGAAGATGCTGAACTGCTGGCTGAGGAGCCAAAGATGGCTGCACTCTTCCTGGCGGGGGAGCAGGGTTTGCGCGTGTGTTATTTTAGTTCAACGATGAGGATTTTACCTCTTTCCTCATAAAATGAGAACAAAAGGTTTGGGGGTTTGCATGAAAAGAGGGTTTGAAGCAACAGAATGAAATCATGTTTTTAGCCCATTTAACCCTGTTGATCAATGGCTCCCTCCTTTGCACCCCTCCCAATGAACTTAATGGCCTTTTGGTATGTTAAGAACAACTGCAAAAATGTATGATCATATAACTAATAAAGGTATTTTTTGGCTGTCAAGAGATGGCTAAAATCCCTAGTTTGGTATTTAAATTAGGCTATTTTGGATATATATTCCAAAATCTGACATAGCTGTAGCTCTACATACATACATACATACATACATACATACATACATACATACATACATACATACATAAACAAAAGTAGTCTTTCTCAATACTGAACTCCCACACCTATCATCCCTAGCATAATATTGGGGGGGGGAGGCATTGGAAAGCCCATGTTTCTGTTTGCCTTGCCTCACACCAGTTTACCATTCAGGCTCTTTTTCCCAGGATTGGCAGGGCTTTTGCAGCTGGAGACTCCTTCTTCCAGAGAAGAGCAAGGCAGGGAAGCCTACCCATCTCCTGCCTGGCTCCTGACAGGCCCCTTTTCCCTTTTCCCTGGCAAGCAGAAGAGTGTGAGAGGGCAGTGTCCTTGGCTGAGGCAAATAAATAGAATAGAATAGAGTTGAAGGGACCCTGGAGGTCTTCTAGTCCAGCCCAAGCAGGAGGACCTATACCATCTCAGACAAGTCTAGCCTCTTCTTAAAAATCTCCAGTGATGGAGTGCCCACGATTTCTGAAGGCAAGCTAATAACCCTCTGCAGTGGCTAGAAAGACAGAAGACCAAGCAACATCTAAGCGTGAGTCTTTGGATTGTGATAAAAAGCTCCATCTGGGAGGCAGCCAAGAATTCAAGCAGTAGCAGAAAGAGGTGAAGGCAGAAGAGAGCCTTGGGGCACCACAATCTCCTCCTCCTCCTCTTCCTCTTCCTCCTCCTCCTCCTCCTCCAGGTTTCTCTGATTAGTCCTGAGCCCAGCCCACCAGGCCTTTCAAGAAGCCTGGGAAAGCTGGGCCTTTGTTGAGAGGCTACTGGCTTGGCAAGGAGGCCACAGGGAACTGCCTTTGCTGGAGACTCTCTTCTCCAGGGGCGGCTCAGCAGAACGCCCTTGGACTGCAGTCCTGCTAATCGAGCCCCTCCGTGAGAAAGGACTTGCAGGTGGAATTCAGAAATTAGAGTGATGTGGAGGCTGCCCTGAGCGCCAGAGAGGAAGGGAAAGATACAGAAATCCAGAAGGCCAGGATGTCTGGATTTCCCTTACAGGATGTCTGCTAGGCAGAATGCAACAATGAGAAGGGGAGCAACATGAAAATGGGATGGGGAGAGATTGTGTCAACTTTGCAAATAAGGGGGAGGATGGTATTGACATCACAAGGATGTGGTTTGGGTCATTGCCCAGCATCATTCCACACCTGTGGGCTTTTTCTGAGAGATGCTCACTATGTCCTCCCTTCTTAGGACTACACGGGATGGCTTGTGCCATGGGAAATAAATGGTGAGGAAAGTGACGGCAGTGGAGAGCGCTTGCCAGACATGGCCCATTTCTAGCCAGAATGGTTAATGTGGGGAAATCTGCCTACAGGCTGCTGCACTGCAGAAGCCTGGCTTATCTTATGGCCCTTCTCTAGGATTTTAGAGCATAATTTGGAGCTTGAATTCTGCCTGCCCTTGGGAAGGAAAGACGGGTCCTTATGCATCACACCTCTTTGGGAGACAGGTGGTCTATTATCAGCAAACAGTAGTTAGTCCTGGTCCTGGTCCTGGTCCTGGTCCGTCAAATTTATTCCTGTCCCTGGAGGGAATTCATCTTTTCCCCATGTACTGTTGGCAAACCAGGTACCTGAAGATTCTTCATGGCAAACCTCTGTAGACATCTTGTAATCATCCCAGCATGTTCAGATGTTCAATGGTTGGTTGCCTTATGACTTCTTAAGAAATGTTCCTGGGTACCAAGGTCAGACTGATTGCTCCATAGTCCCCAATTTTTCTTCTTCCTTCTTTCTGAAGAGAGAATCCACATTTGATACTAGTTATTTGATACTTCACTAATTTTCTGGGATTTTTCAGAAAGATTCAGCCAACCATCAGTAAGTTTCTTCAGGATTTAGAGTGCAACCTATTTGGTATGCTTCTTCACCAGGTATATTGAAGGCTCAAACCACA